CAGCCAACCAAACTTGTTTGACGTCTGGGCTAGCGAGTCTCAGTGATTGTATGATGGTTGATGTATTGATTGAATACCAAGGCATGGCCAAAGGGTCACCTTAAGTGGTGCCTTATTGAGACAGTATCTCCCCTCCACCACAAATAAAAAGTCTAGAAGGACTTCTATAGGTGTTGATAAGATACTGCGAGATTTCATTACAAGTAATCTGGATATTATGCATTGCCACGGAGCGATTCATTTGGTTGAAAGCATTACTTGCGTCGATTAGAAGTATTCCATCTGTTTCAGCTTCAGCAAAGATCTCGCTCATTGCGTGTATCGCGGCTTCAGCGCCCGCGTTGTGCCCAGCACAAACTTGTAGAGGGCCCGCTGCTTGTTTCAACTCTTCTTTGAAAAAAGCTGACACAGTTTTGCCAATAATTCGCCTCAGTACTTCGCCTACACCTATTGGCCTAATTCCAGGATTCTTGTCAAGGGGAATCAATCTACATGATGTAAAGGCCTCTAATAGGGAGGGATGGTATGAAGACTTCAGCAGATTTCTCGTCATTATGGCTATTTCCTCTCTTAGGAGTTTTCCCTCGGTCTTGAAACTTTTTGAACACACGATTCTTCGATATAGTTCGGCATCCATTCCCGAGGGCCCTGCCGAACCTTTTGTTTTTAACGCTGCGTTGTAGATGGTCTGCTCATCAATCAAATCGAAAGTATTTGGTGGAACATAATCCATCGGCCCATACAAAAGGCTCCCCTCTTGCACCTCTGCAGCTGTTGGGTGTTTCTGTTTAAGCTCTTTAATGACTTCTGGCGATAGATTACATAAACCGGATGAACTCTCTTTATCTAACATCTTTATAGCAGCCGTGATTTTTCCTTGCATGACCAATTTTGCAAAGGTTTTAGACACATCTTCCATAGATCTAGCCTTCCTCGAGGATTTAAATTTCTTTTGAATAAATCTTACTTCTTTCATTAGTAGTGATACGTCGCCTTGTCTCCATAGGAGTAATCTGCGATCGATAGCTGAACTATGCTCTTTACTCTTAGACTTTGCAGACGGCTTCTGCAAAATCAGCGAAGGAAGTATCATAAATACTTTTAATGCAATTGAGTTCAACTCAGCATTGGAGTTAAATTGTTTGAGCCAGTAAGTTAATTCAGTTATGTAATCTTTGCCTGCTCTACCAGACGGAATTTTAAAAATGTTTCTTCGGAAGTGAACGATTTCATCGTATATCTCGCCCACTTCACAGCACAATTCTCGGTGCGTTATTTCCCCCCGCATTTTCTCTTTTATTTGGGATGGCAACACGTTAATCTCGGGCAAATTTGGCAGCAAATTGCGTGATGAACTCTCTTCATCATTTCTTAATTCCTCTGGGACTTGCTCAATAGTAATGTTATGCAAATTTGACTCCGGTCTCAGTTCGTTGATTCCGCCGCTTACTTCAGCAATTTCGCCTTCCTGAGTTTTATACGATTCATTATCACAACCAAATGTTGGAAGAACCTGAATCTTTTGAAGCTTCGAAGCTCGATCTCTTAAGTTTTGTCCAGTTAGGCCCAAGCTTGCATAACCTCGTTCTTCCCAAAGTTGCTTCATGAGCTGTATATAGCCTATCTTGCTGCCCGTTGACTTGTTAACATTTAACGATGGATTTTCTGATGATTTTAATTCTTGAGCTCTTTCTTTGCATTCTAAAACATCCCTATTCATTTCTTCTGTCCATTTCGTTCTCTTCTGTTTCCTTGACATCGCGAAATTGTCATTTACTACACCGAAAATGTACTTATTTTACGGAGCCATATTTCGTACGTCCGATGCGTAATGTGTTATATGTGTGAAGTAAACTTGCACGCTTTAGTGTGGGGAACATTAAGACATAACCATATAAAATAAAGCACAGTGAAAATTCCTTGACCCTTCTTGGGATTCAGTTCTCGACCTCCTCTGACTGAAAACCCCGGCTACGTCTTTGATGATAGCTATATGAAAGCCTTAAGTTACTGTAAGACGTTATTATGAGAGGCCAAAAAATAT